CCTTTTTCTTGCGGAAGACTGGCAAACAACGCAACCACAACCTTTTCCTTGGCCGGAATACAACAAAGATCAGAAGCTGAGGGTGCTGTGCGAGGTACACGGCAGTGGTATACGGATGTTCAATGGATTGATATTCGCTCGGTCCATCAGTTGCACAAAGCAGGACGTTGGACTCGGAGGTCACTAGTCGCAAAATTCCTCCCACAATAACAGATCCACCATGGCATCCACCTGGGGAAGTCTAGTAGAATATTGATCTAGTCCGATGATGCGGCAACGATCCGTCCAACTCACCCGTCTTCTCCATTTCTTTACACGTATCGTACAAGAAGAAATCTATCAGCACCGCGTTCACCTTCCCCTTCGCCTCGGGGTGCTTCTTCAGGATCTCCCGCTGGATCAATTCGACACACCAAATGCTGCAGCCCCTTATTTCGACTTCAAGCTCCTCGCCTGGCTTTATCAACTCGTTCCGGGAGATCTTGGATTCCAAGCGCGGAGAATACCAGAGGCAGTCCAGGCTCTGCAGCATCTGGGGGATGCGGTAGTCGGCAAACATGGTCAGCGACTCGATGTCCGAGAAGGAGCCGTATGAGGTGCCCTGGAAGCAAGCCCAGATGTCTGCCACCAGGATCTGTGCACGCTTCAGTAGGCGGACTTTTCGGCCTTGAAAGTAGGCGACGTCCTGGAAATTTGGGAAATGTTCGGCGAGTAGGTTCACCAGGGCTGCTGCCGACCCGTTGGCTTGCCGAATGAGGTTTGCCGGTCTGCAGGCGAAGTGATTGTAAAGAATATCGCCCGCCTCGCGGAGGATGGATATTCGATCACTCAACAGGGGCATCCGTTCGTCTGTGGCGGAACGGAAGACATGCTCGAGCACACTGTCGGGACATGCGTCGCGATCTTGCCAGAAGTCCGGGCTGGTGATCGGGTATCCCTCCTCAAGGGCCCTCTGCAACGCCGCAACGAGGGACCAGTATCCCGTCCACCTCTCGCCTCTGAACTCCACGGCGAACCTGTCCGTCTCGGCCCGTTCAGACCAGAAGGAGAAGTTGAGCAGATTCATGGTGAAGATGAAATTCACCGTTTCTTCCTCGTTGTCGTTGGTGAGCTTTGGATGGAGAGCGTGACTCGACCACGTCCCCGTCGAGTAGGATTTCTGCTGCATGAGTTGGTAGATCTGTTCGGCCGCCTTCTTGGTGCTGGCACTGGAGATGGCGACGTCGATTGCATTGTCGCAAATCCACTCTGCTGATTCCAAGACGCGTGTGTTTGGCGGTGAAGCTTTGCTCCCGTCGTCCCCTAACCCCAATGACTGCCGGAGGAGAGCTACTAGCTCGGGATCGGCTTCGTCGTCAGACATTTTCCCTTGCTCTGGTCAACGGGCAGTGAGTGGTACAACAAGATGACTTTGAAACGATGCTCAAATGAATGACCTGCCTCCGTCAGTCTGAAGCCGCCTTGCTTTCGTCCCGGCATGCTCGTTCTTCCAAGCAACCCGAAAGACCAGTAACGCAGATTTGAACCCACAGTTGATAACGCCACATAAAAGCAGCTTCATTGCCGCTTGTCATTGACACGTATCATTGCTACACGAGAACTCTGGGCTAGAATGGTCATGATCATCAAGTAACGCCTTTCTGGACTCTATCCCCTCGACCACTGTGTACAATGGATCTGATCTCAAAATTCCTGGACCTGAACAAAATGTGTCATTTTCTCACTTGGCCAAATGAAGGCAAACGGGGCCGATCCCTTGCGAGGTTTGATGCAAGGGCAGGCAGAATGCCACCATTAAAAGAGCGGCATCTTCCAGGTGGCATGACGAGATGCTGCAGGTGACGCAGAGCCCTAAAGCCGTCAACTTGCCACTAACGCACCCACTAAACAATTAGCGTTGTGGGCACCAGGCGAGCCCCCAGAGGTGGCTTTGATTGGGGATGGGCACGACGGCGCAGGCGCTGGGCGCCGTGGGCGGGCGGTTTGCAACTCTGTGCTGCAGGGTTCAGCGATCCAGCTCACGATTTCGCTGTGCGGCTCGCCAGCCCGAAAGATCAACGCCGCATCTGCTTGTCGTCCTCCCCAGGGCGCGCCCGGCAGCAATCATCAGCCGCTCCTGCAACTCAATCTCTCTTCTATCAACAACAAGATAGTCGCGCCTCCTCGACTTTACTGTGTGCTCTTGTGTCCTTCACTTTCACTTCACTTTCCAGCCTCGTTTCCTTTCCCGCGTATCGTTTGCCTCATGCCTCCGCATTTGCTGGAGAGCCCTCCCTAAACGACTCGGTCCCTCCTTGCCCAACACCCAGCCTCACCTCCCCCCGGAAGTCAGAGCGATGGCCCGCGAAAGTTATACCCGTCAGTCGTTGGGGGCGACACAGCGGCTCGTCAAAGAGGTGAGATCCACGGGACCAGCGGGAAATGCGGCCGGAAACTGACTCCTCCGCCAATACAGTCCCGGGTCCTGCTTGTCGGCGCAGGTGGCATTGGCTGCGAGCTGCTCAAGAACCTTGTTCTCACCGGCTTCGGCGAAATACACATTATAGACCTTGACACGATCGACCTGAGCAACCTGAACCGTCAATTCCTGTTTCGTCATGAACACATCAAGAAGCCAAAGGCGCTCGTCGCAAAGGAGGTGGCCGGCAAATTCAACCCGAACGTCAAACTCGTCGCATATCATGCCAATATCAAAGACAAGCAGTTCAACCTGGAATGGTTCTCGGGGTTCAATCTCGTCTTCAATGCACTCGACAACATGGACGCGAGGCGGCACGTCAATAAAATGTGCCTGGCGGTTGACGTCCCGCTGATTGAATCCGGCACGACTGGCTTCAAAGGTCAGGTGCAGGTGATCAAGAAAGGCAAGACCGCTTGCTACGATTGCACCCAAAAACCGACAGCCATTTCATATCCCGTTTGCACGATACGATCTACACCCAGCCAACCGATCCATTGCATCGTGTGGGCCAAGAGCTATCTTCTGCCAGAATTGTTTGGTGTGAGCGAAGACGAAACTCCCGAGGTCGACACGTCGGAGGACTCAGATAATGCGGAAGAGATCAAGAAGCTGCAAGAGGAGGCTCAAGCGCTCAAGACGATCAGAGCTGCAATGGGCTCCAATGATTTTGCGAAGCAGGTGTTTGACAAAGTGTTCAAGGAAGACATCGAGCGCCTGAGGGAGATGGAGGATATGTGGAAGGACAAACAACCCCCGGAACCGCTGTCTTACGATATTCTTGAGCAAGAGGTGGCCAAGATCGACCTCTCTACCATTACGAATGGGCAACGCGTCTGGTCTGCTGCCGAGAACTTCGTCGTCTTCAAGGATAGTCTGGACCGATTGGCGACACGCTTAGCACAAGAACAAGCAGCAGCATCAAAATCCGGTTCCCCACAACCTTCTATCTCGTTCGACAAGGATGACGGCGACACGATGGACTTTGTTGCCGCGGCAGGTAACCTCCGAGCAATCATATTCGGCATCGAGCCCAAGTCGAAATTCGACATCAAACAGATGGCAGGCAACATTATTCCTGCAATCGCCACAACAAATGCCATGGTTGGCGGGTTATGCGTGATGGAGGCTTTCAAGGTCTTGAAAGGAGATTTCGCCAAGACGCGTTTCTTATGGGTATCCAATGGCGCGCTGGCCACGGACAAGTTGGACGAGCCCAATCCCGAATGCCCCGTCTGCAGTGTGGCGATGATGCGAGCACGCGTCGACTTGGAAGCCGCCACGCTCGGAAACCTGGTGCAAGACATTTTGCGAACAAAACTGGGTTATGGCGAAGAAATCACCGTCATGAATTCAGCGGGTATCGTCTACGACCCAGATCTCGAGGACAACCTGGAAAAGAAGTTATCTGAACTAGATATTGGCGAAGGTAGTTTCGTGGTGGTCAAAGACGAAGAGGACGACGATCCCCGAGTCGATCTGCACCTGGCCATCGAAGCGAAGAAAGCAGAAGACGGAGACAAATCCATCATATTGGTCGAGAAGGAGGGCAAGCGGTTCGAGATAGCGAAAAGGCCGAAGAAGAAGTCTGGAGCCGATGGCAAAGAGGAAGACCAGGACGACGATGAGAATGGCTTGGTCATGATGAACGGCAATACAAACACAGCACCCGCGACAGGCAAGCGGAAGCGACTGATCGAAGACGACGTTGAAGACAGCGCCAAACCCGCGAAGAAGTTGCAAGGCCCAAAGAGTGATCAAGTTTCGCACCATCCAGCGGCATCACAAGCTATTGTGATTGACGAGGACAATGGAGCGTTCGTGATTGCGGACGACGATTGAAGTAATCTTCGGTTGCGGTGGTTTCCAGATCATGCTGGAAATAAGCCGCATTGAAACAGAGCAGCATCGGTGGTGCTGAAGGAGCTCTCTGCTACCTACTCTGTCTGGTTATATTCAAAACCACCGGGGGAGGTTGACGCGCGCTACGGCCTTCCCACACACTTCCATTCTTGTGCCTTTACCTTCTCCTGTACTTTATACAGTTGGGACGTCTGCTTGAACTCTTCAGGAACAGCGCATCTCCACTTGGACATTCTCGATAGAATCTTCCTGGAGACCGAGGCCACGTTTTGGGATTGGCTTGGGAGCCGAGGTCATGGAACGATATGCGACGAGATTTTGCAGGGGTTGGTTCAAGAGCTGAGGAACTCGAAAAACAGAAGATATCGAAGCAACACAACAAACTGACAGATGAAGAGAAGCGTTCATCTCTCTTGACTTTAAGGCTCTTTTGATTCCGTCCCCCGTCCTGGCTGTAACTTTGTAGACAGGCCAGGCACAGCACGCCAAGATTCACTCTGCCGTCTTTGTGGCTGGATTCAGCCGCATCTCCACTGCCTTGGCGGATTCACGGTCCATTTCTTTTACGCGTCCTTCATTCTCCATTCATAACTGCTCCTCGCGGTTCGACGAGGATTATTGCCCTTCCCTTCCCTCGACCAACGCAAGCATATCACTCAAGACCACAACCATCATAATCATGGCCGCGAACGGAATTCCCTCGCCCTTCGTGACGCTCGTCTCGGCCGACGGCTTCGAGTTCCACGTCCGGCGCTCCGCAGCCTGCGTGTCTCCCACCCTCCGCCGCATGCTTGATCCACAGAGTACGTATGCCCACGGCCACCTACCGCAAATTGAGCCTTGCAATTCCTCGCACTCCCAAAAACCCCCCGGTAGCTCGTTTTCGTTTCCGTTCAACCGCTGACCCCTTGTTTTGCAATTTTTACAGACAATTTCGCCGAAGCCCAGTCCGGAGTCTGCCACCTCGAGAATATCAGCGGGATTGTGCTCGAGAAGGTGGTTGAGTACTTCTACTACAGCGAGAAATATCGGAACAGCGAGGGCGTGCCAGACATGGATATCCCGTCGGAGTTGTGCCTTGAACTGCTTATGGCAGCGGACTTTTTGTTGACATGAAGAATTCGAGGGTGCATGGATCGAAGCAGCAAAAGACACTTGCTTGCGGTGCGAGGCTGCGAATATCTCTTCCAGTCTCGAATGCACTGCTGGAACACCAGGAATGAATGATATCGTGTCGACGAGGATATGAAAAGAAGGAGTCGCATCTGGGTGGAAGCAAGACTCCAGGCGGAGCTTGCCGAGGCCATGCAACCATTCTTCACCAGGAGGCCACGGTTGTGACAATCCATCGGCAACCACCATCACCTTCATCACCAGCGGCCGGGACGGCGGGGATCTTGTCGATGACCATTCAACGCGACATTCCAGAATCCCGAAGTATCCGTTTACGGAACGAGTGAGAACGGTTGGACCTGCCAGCCAGATCTGTTGACAGCGCGAATGAAGGAGGCAATCTGCCAGTCAGCCAGCCGACAGTTGCGAGACTGGTCCTCAACGCTGGAGGGAAGATGTTAATGTCATGCTCATGCTCATGTGCAAGCCAGCCAAAACTAACCGCAAACGCCTGCTTGACTACAGTACTCAGCACTCATCGGGCAGGCTACAGCGACAAGCCAGTCCGGACAGCCACTCTTCGCTGGAAGCCGCAAGTCCCAGTTTCAAAACCGAGCCAGGACCTCCAAAGGCTACAGAAGGAACATCATTTCACAGAGTAAGAGTAAAACTGGATGGTCAGAGATGATTCTCGTTGCAGACGACTTTCGGAAACGAAAGACCACAATGACCCAGTGAGCTGAGCATGCATGTTTCATCTGGCTAGTTGATTCCCATCCTACCTACATGTATATCTACCTTCCATCACCCATACCGCACCGCACCGCATCACACCACATCATGCCTTCCCTTGACTTCTTTCCCCTGACTGAAACGCAAATGCGAATGCAAATGCAATACAAACGCCAACATATGGCCAATATCCGCATCCCAACCCTCTCTCCCTCCCTCTCCACCCATCTCAAGCATATACGTCGCGACACACCTGCTGTCCCACAGGCCGACGTCTATAGAAGATGGAACATCATACACCATACTCCCTAGATCATCAGGCAGTCCGTCGCACCTTTTTTTAAATTCCATGTGCTGAAGCGGACGTTCTCTCAAGGGGAGACATCATCACTCCGTATTATGTGTGCATTGCTTGAACCTATGTGGTCTGTACTTGTACACGTGGTGTGGTATATCATCATGTCACATGTCAGAGCCTTCGTATTAAAGTGAATGTCGGTAGGGAAACACAAGCACAAACACAACACAACACGCTGTATATGTATTTGCGATTGCTGTGTGTGCCGGTGCGGTACGGCGCGGTGCGATATGATGTTATGTCATGTTGTTGTGTAGCTCCATACCACATACCAGTCACGCAGTACTGCGTACTGGATTTATGAACTCGGAACTCATCATTTCTATAAATACTCTGTATAGCATATAGCATAGCCTGGGTATCACGTCTATTTACTGTATGTTTCGTTGAACCGTGCCGTTCTGTTGTTCCGTTCCGTCTCGTTCCATTCCAGTCCATTCCATTGCCGTCATGTCTCCGTTCGAGGTTCATGCAATGACCTCTCCAACGGCTGTCCAGCTATGCTCGCCGTCGAGATGAGCAGGAAGCCCAGCTCTACTCGTAGGCTCAATCTGACTTCAACCGTCCGTGGGACCTTGGCATCTCCATATGGTCATCAAATCTGCTTCGTCTGACCTGGTCGACGGCCTTGGCCCTGCGCCTGCCCTTTCCCTTTCCCCTGCGGTCTCCTCGCCCCCTTGGTCCCCGCCCTGATCTTCTCTTCGAATAGCTTCTCGGCTCCAAAGCACGCATCACTCAACCGCAGATAACTCACCACTCCCATGTCCACAACTGCGAGGAGCACGTTCCTTTTGCCGTATTTGATCCGCGTCTCCAGCTTGCCTGCCTTGTCTCTGGTCAGGAAGTCCTCCGGCTGAGAATCTAGGAGGCGGCCGATTTGAGCAAGACTGGGGATCGAGGGTGTGGTCCGCGCATCGATCACGCAGATGCGATAGTCCGGTGGAGGGGGGGATGTTTTCTTAAACGTGCTGGAGGCGGCGGGTTTCCAGACGTGAAAGTGGATCCGGTAAGGTGGCTGAGGTCGTTGTGATTGTGATTGTGTGTCGTTGGGTGCCGCGATGGTGTCGGTGCCGGTGCTGAGGCTGTGCGATGAAGATGATCCGTCATGATACGGTATCAGCGCCAGTGCGCGGAAAATGTCGGCGTAGTTTCTGTATAGGCCCGGTGCGACGAGTGGGCCGAGTGAGGAGCAAGATTCACTGCGTTGAGGGCGGAAGAGGTACGAGACCAGTCGGTGAATGAGGGATGCGATGTTGGATATTGCAGAGGAAGGTCGAGAAAGACTGCGTGGGGAGGTTGATTGGGGTTGTAATCGCAGTAATGCTATTGATGGTGACGGCGTGTGTAATGAAGACGTCGAGGGAGCTACATTTTCGTAATTGTGACCATTTGGTTGAACAGCATCGGTGTCATGCCAAGTTGGTGCTCGGTGGACGATATACCCTGCTCTCTTCAGCCCCGCATAGACTGTATATCGTTCCAGCGTCAAGCCGTCCGTGCCAATGAGACTGGCATACGCGCCTTGAACACTCATAGGCAAGTCGCCTATTTTCAGCTCAGGCTGCTCGCCATCTTGAGGTAGCTGTGGCTCGCGGGCGGAGGCGGCGGCGGCACCATTCTCCGAGGTGATTAGATTGACATCCTTCTCATTCTCCTCTTCCTTGCGTTGAGCTTCCTCCAGGATGTCCTCTACCTCGGCGTCCGGCCACCGGATATCAAGATTCCCTCTCTCCAGCAGCCAGAGAGCCTCCTCAGGTAGAAACCAAGTCCAGTTGTTCCTGTCTCCCACGCCCATGACCTTGGAGTGCGTGCTCTTGAACTTCGGCACCACCACGCATCGTCCTTGTCTCGCGCCTGTGTCATCTTCATCCCATCTCCAGTCCCCTTCGTTGGGCAAATATTGGCCCACGACATGGTTCTTGCCCGCATGTATTCGTACCGAGCTGAGGGCAGTGTGCATGGCCAGGCGGGACGCATCGAGGGCCGAGGACTGCGAGCGCGTAGGGTTCGGTTCAAAGTCTTTGGTGCCACGTTTGGGGATTGTGGTTTGTCCTGTGCGCGTGACAGCCGTTATTTGGTTGAGGAAGCGGAAATCTTGGGTCTCGTCCTCGAGATCGTCCTGGTCGGTGGTAGAGGTTCGAGGAATGGCATCCTCGTCGGCGTCGGCCATGTTGTCGTCGTTGAGCGCTTCAGGAAGGAGAAGGGAGAGTCGTATAATGGGCGCGTGCTAATTGCTCGCTCTGGGTCACACAAGATGCATGACTCCAGCAATGGAAGGGGAAGGGCTCGGAAATCCGCGAGTCATTTTTCCGGTGCCCGCGAGTCATGCATGCTCTCATGCTTCAGCTGTTGGCGCTAGACTGGACATGTGACCTACTGCATCACGTGCTCGCTGTCTTTCATCTGAAAGACGGCTCCCTGTGAGCCTGAGATGAGAACGAAGTCAACGCGAACACAAACAACCATCATTTTCCGTCCTCGGAGTTTGTCAAATCGCAAGCCACGCAGAGTTCGCGCAAGGTCCCGGCACAGAGCGTTAAGTCTCATTGGCCTGGAGAGCTAGCTCGCGAAAGAGAACACTTGAAAAGAGGCTCCTACTGTGGAAGCGAGTATTGTCAGTTCTGTCTTTCCACAGGCATATCTTTCAAGCCGGAGCGCCCTAAGATCAATCCGCCAGTGTTGCGACCGCTACTGTAAAGCCACCAACGATATGCCCGCCAGGTTGTGGTAACGAAACGCCATCCATGCACCTCCGAGCTCATGCAGTCTTTGCTTCCGACTGTTCAACCTCAACATGACTGATCGCTGGCTGCTTTTCCAGGAAAGCACCGGTATTAACTTGAACGTCGTGTAGGGCTTTCTCCTGGATCTCTGTGCGATACGTCTTGAACTTGAAGACACCAACCCGCTTCTCGAAGAGTTCGTCAATCTCCTCCAATGATCTTCCTTTCAGCTGCTTCTGGTCAGCAAAATCCATATTCAATTCGGGTCCTATCCTTACTTCTGGAATGCAGAAGAAGTAGAAGATTGCGCAAGCTATGTTGCTGCCGAACCAGATATAACCGTATTTGGGGCCCTGGAACCATGCGTTAGCGGCTTCGAATTCCATTCAATTGTGCGTCAAACTCACCCAATTCAAATCACCTGGGTTGATGAAGTACGGCGTGCAGAAACTGGTGAGCCATGCGAAGACGTATTGAAGTGACGTTGCTGATCCGACCGTCCATGCACGGAGACGCGAGCTGACAAGCTCTGTAGCCACTGGATACGTGGCAGCGCCGACACAGCCTAGAGGATGTGAGCAAGCAACCAGAAAGAGAGACGGACCACTTATACCATTGTAGAAGAAGCCCCAAATTGCGACCATTGCCACAGTCACTTTACCGGTGGTCATGGTACCAGGAGAAGCGCTTTGCGCAATCGCCATCCCGAGGAAGCAGAGACTTGTCACGATCGACCCAAAGATACAGATGAATCTCCTTCCCACCAGATGGCGCATGGCGTACATGCCGCAGTTAACTCCTACGAATCCGATGCAGGTGATCATGATCGAGTACTCGAAAGCCTGTTTGATTCCGGCAATCTGGAAGAAGTATGTTTGATAGGCGATAGGGAACCAGGATCCACTGCCTGCTTGTGTCATGATGGTCCCCCAACACAAAAGCGTCCGTCGCAAGTCGGCACCTGGCACAAGATCAGCCGCGGAAGTCGTACCAGTGTCAGGTTCATTTGACTTACCACGAAACATGTCCAAGAGCCCAACCGACTTCGCAGTCTTTCTTTCTTCCTCGACGCCGCGAATGATTTCGGCCCATTCGAGCTCAAAATACTCCGGAGCCAGTGAATCTGCTCGTAATGTCTCCAAGGACTTTCTGGCCTGGCTCTCTCGGTTATGATGCAGCAACCAGCGGGGAGTCTCGGGAACGAAAAACAACCCGATGGCCAGCAGAACCGGCACAATATAGAGACTGCCAATCGGAATCTGATAGGAGCCTTTGTCCAGACGGTCCTTGGTATAGTTGTCGACGATGGTACCGAGAATAGCACCGATATTGACCCAATAAGCGAACAGCGCCACCATGACTCCTCTGAGATGAGCCGGAGCGATCTCGGCGGTGTATATATTCGAGAATGTGACAAGGAAGCCATTTGAAAATCCCAGGACAACGCGACCAAGGTATACCACTCCTTTGTTTGTGGTACCAATCTGAATGGCCAACCCGACGCAGTTCAAGGCGCACGCCAACCAGAGAGCTGTCTTGCGACCGTAGAAAGCGCCAAAAGTTCCGGCAAGTATGGACGAGAGAAACGCGCCCAGGGTCAAGAGTGAGCCGATCAGTTGTTGGAACGTGCTCTGCCCCCCGATATTAGCATGGTTGGCATTTCAACCGTCAAGGAACCTACATCGATGCCGTAGCCAACCGGGCTGTTTGGATCTTCGAAGCCGAATACTCTCAAGAAGCCCGGCATAGCCTGGAGAGCGCCGATGGCTGCACTATCGAAGCCTGAGATTGACACAGTGTAAGTACTGGCGGCGCTCCGAGCTCACTGGTTACTTTATCAGCTTACCATATTGGGTATTCGCCGTCGCAACTATGCAGGCAATGATCAGGCATTTGCGATTGGCCCAGAGAGAGGTCACGGGCAAAGTGACTTGGGAAGTGTGCGGAACTTCCGACATTCTGAACAATACTCGCAAACAGATGAAATGATGCTTCCCTGTAAATCAGCCCCAGGTCGGGGAGGTATCAGGGATATAAGTTCTTTTGTTCCCTCCGCAACGATCTGAACTAATCCGGGGATGCATCCACAACTGCCCAGAAAGACACGGCTCGTGGCCAGAAAGCGATAGATCTGGGCATGATCCTGCCAAGGTCAAACGTCCACATGTGGAGCTGGATGTATCTCGCTAACTGGGTGTTCCAGACATCGATTGTGGCCTACATGCGATATTGTCGGTGAAAACAGCAAATGGACTGGGTACCTCGTGCTTGGCTCTAACGACTGCTAGCCAACACCTGCATGTGGAGAACATGCGGCACTGGACTCGTTTCTCGTCCGGCTGAGGCACTCATAAGCTGCTTTCAGCTCAAACAAGATGCCCCAGAATGTGGGTGTGCTTCTCCGCAACATACACGGCGCTTCGCTACCTTGCATCGATACAGTTTCGGGACGAGCGACAGTTGCTCAAGCGGAGCATCGGAACAGCCTCCTGCTTATCCGTGGCGATTCTTGGCTCATCTCGTCCCGATCGAGAACCTTGTTCTACACATGTATTGTGCCGTCGAAGATACCTTCCCATCTCCTGAGATTCCTATATCTGGTACTGGGACTTGGATTCAGCTTCCACGAATATGCCCAGTATGCCCCACATGCGGAGACACGCAGCAAACATGCAGACCAACTGCCGCGTCTCGTTCTTTCGCCCTGGGCTAATAATCTGGCCCGGCGATTCGCCGCTGCAGGCGGAGTCGAGGACCACGAGGACCTGATGTCGCCGGTCAAAAGCCGCAGAAGGGCGGGCCAACGGGAGATGGCCTCAACTGTTCACGAACGGATAGGATAGCTTGAACGTGGAGAATTCGTATCGTCCAACTACACAGTACATGTTCAACCAGGACCTGTGACCACGGATCGGCCGCAGATAGTGGTATTTGTCGACGAGAATTCTCCAAGAAGAGGAAGGCTCCTCCACAGACCCGTTCCCGACGTGCGAGATGGAGGTCACAAAGAAGGCGATACACGCGAGCGCCTCTCGCTTGTCAGTGAATGCTGGTCAATATCAGCATGCGAAATAGAAAAGCCCATGCGGCAACTTGAGCCGAAGTTCTGATCGTCAACTCGACAAGCTTGCCTTACCGTGCCGCGGGTGACAAAACCACCGCTTGAAAGGTATGTATGTACGACAAGGACCCGGTGGGAGGTGCTATCGGGGTGACTCGCGAGCGACCGCTTCCAGAAGCCGCTGGGCTGGGCGGAACAAGACTGAAGCACCAGACAGTCGATGCTATGTACATCTTCTCACCTGCACCACACCGCCTATTGCTTTTCTGAAGCCCCGTCGCTAAGGCTCTGCTCCGCGCTGCGGTGACTGAGGAGTGGACGTATAAATCGTCCCATACCAGTATGGCCCCAGTCCGTGATACACCCTTCCAGCTCCTCGAACGCCCTTCATGACAAACGCAGCATACTTGCGATCATCCAAACCGACATATGTCGCAACGCCCCGACGGAGATTCACCATAAGCAAGCCACGAAAAGAAGCACATACGCAAAGACGTGATACCCTTCGACGGATTCCTCGCTGATGAAATATGTGATGGCCGGGACATCACGCAGGCGCGCATCGTACTGGGATCCTTCTCCGGCATTCAGGAGCAACCAATCGTGAGTGAAAAAGACCCTTCGCGTCACCGAGATGTCGAATACTCCGTCACGATGTTCTTGACAAGGATACACCCCTCGTCCCTGGCAAGTGATGTGCAATATGCCTGGATTGCTTTCATCTCCACCGCCCATGCCGTCGCGAAACCGGATCGCTTCCCTTTACAACGATAAGGCGCTCCGTCTATAGACTCTCCAAGTACTCAAACTGCTTGACTATGGCATTTGGCTTCCTAGAAGCTGACATCGGATCCTACACCGCCTTGCTCCTCTGGGTGTGGAATCCATGCGAAGTACACGGTAGGCAGAGTCGTGCGGATGAAATGCTGATTCCGTCTCGGCGGCACAAAGAACGCCGCCACCGACCGGGCCACGAAAAGCTATTTTTGGCAATCGGTAACCAGGAAGTCGGGGTCCAGCTCGACGCGGATGCTGTCTGCCGGAGTCGTCCGCACGATGTCATCGATCGTCTTTCTCTGTCGCGCCGTAATTACACCCCGGAGGTGTCGACAACTGTGTGGGCGCCCCTCGTCCTCGTCCTAGCGCATGTCGTGCAGCATTGTATTCGTCGCGATCCTTGGGGTTCGTCGTCGACTGGGACAATATAACACGTCTGCCAGGAGGGCCCGACTCCGGCGCAGACCCTGAGCCGCCTGATACAGTGGTGAAGGTGCCGGAGTCTACCTCTCCGGCGTCGTGGTAATGGCGAGGAGTGGTCTGAATGGGACGCGGAGAGCCTCTGATTGACCCTGCGTCAAGCCAGCCCTGGGCCACGAGTGGGGAAGA